CTCACCCACTATTCTTGAACCTACCAAGGGATATTTCAAGTCAAGCAATCAGCACAATCTCAATTAACAAAGACTATGTTAAAGTATATCCACTCACAACTGACGCAACACCTTTAAAATATAATTTATTTCTACCTGATAGAAAAGGAAATAATAGTTTAAACTCAACCCTCATACAACAAGAAACTCTAAATGGAACTAGAAATCTTACACAACAAGATATTCAAAAACCATCACATTTCGCAAATGAAGAAGTAGTTACAACAGTAACAACAACACAATAAATTATTTCACCAATACATCTCAATTTTACAACTCCAAGGCCTTAAAACCCAACATTACCACAGGTAACATTACAATCTACGGTTAAACCCTCCGTTGTTCCTAAATATTCACAAATGGATCACCAAACATTTAGACCAATGATGAAACCAACCCAAAAACAAAGAACATTCACTAGAAATAATTTTGAAGAATACAAATATAACTATGTAAATAGACCACAAATATCTAAACCTCCTCGTACAAATACGCAAAATCATTTTTTTTCACAAAAACAAAATTCACATCAATCAACATCAAACTCAGTAAAATTTAATGATTACCCACAAAATTCACCAGACCAAAGTGAAAATTATCCATTTTTTCAGCAAAATAAAAACAATAAACAGCAAAACCAAAATAGACATAAAACACATTATTACACACCTAATTATCTTCCATCAGATGATGGGGATTTCTTTGACCTAAATCATTAACCAATTTTTCAAAACCAAAGACTCCACTCTTATCACGTAAATCAACCAGATGGTTTTGAACCATATTTACGATAACAAAATACGTGACAACCTAGACCAAATCACGCATCTCAAAATAAAAAATTTTTTATCACAAAACCCAGTTGATACAGATTATAATCAACCAACACAAACGCAAAATGAATTATTACTACCTTATTACTTGCAACAACATGAAATCACAAATAGTCAACTTACAAATTTTTCACAAATGCCAAATGCCGCAGAATCACTTAAAATGACCCTGAATCCATACCCAATGGATGGATCATCAATAACATCAAACAAGCCATTGATGGTATTTACAGGAACAAACCCTGAATGTTCTGTAGAAAATTATTTAAATGCAGTCACAGCAAATTTAATCTTAAATATTGGACCTGAACCAATAAATACACCACTTTACCAAAATTGGATACATAGACGCACATTGTTAATACAAACCACAATTGATGGCGCAGCTCAAAAATGGTTTTCAATTTTACCTATAGATATAAAGTCAGACTGGAAAAGATTCACACAAGAGTTTTCAAAAACGTTTGATTCTGAAAGGAACAAACAACATCAAAGACTTTTTTTGCAATGAAAATCGTAGACTACCAAACGAAAAGATCAAACAACTAGCAGTAACCATCGAAACACTAATCCGAAAAGCATTCTCAATGAACACTCATGATTATGAAAACAAAAATGACAGAAATTCTAATGATGACTCTAACACCTCAATTACGAAAAATAGCAATCAAAAAGAGAGCGTCACATTCACCCTCAATTCGAGAACCAGATTTAGATTTTAGAAAACTAGTAGATAAACTAGAAAAAGCAGAAATCACTATGAAACTAGAAGAAACTGAAAATCTCAAACTACAATACGTTTAAAATATTCGAACCACTACAACACGGATAAATAATATACACAATTCAGACGCAGATTTATCCGAAACAATCACTGAAATTTTGAATATAAACGAGAAAAATCCAAATTTTAAAGGTAAACCATCATTCAAAAAAAGGTTCAAACTATTGCCGAAGATACGGACATAGCATTGCTGAAAGCAGACAAAAACAACTAGACAATCAGAATGAACCACAAAAGGACAAAGTACCAATCCATTTACATGACAAAGTTAATAGATTACTTGACATTCTAGAACAATATTAAATCATATCTCCAGTAAATAAAGAAGAACAGCCAAAAAGAAACACCTTTATTAATCCTGCTATTATTCTCGCCAAAGGAGAATCACTAAAAATAGTTCTAGACGCTAAATACCTCACTTCACTCATTGATGAATCTAAATTTAATTGGTCAATAGAACCAATTCAAGTAATTCTAACAAAAATAAACGGTAAATACTTAACGACCGCAGATATGAATAGTGCATATAATCAAATGCCACTAGAAGAACAATCACGACGATTCACAATATTCGTTATTGGAAATCAACTATACGATTTTAATTTCTTGGACACATTATTGACCCTGATGAAATCACGAATCGATGCTATTCAAAATTCCAGCCACCTACAAACATAAAGAAAATCCAAGAAATCCTTGGAATGTTAAAATTCTTAAGTAATTACATCTATAAAATGCAATTATACTTAACACCATTTTATAACATTCTTAGACAACAAAATAATTTTGAATGTACAACAGAACATCAAACACGATTTGAAGAAATCAAAAAACTTCTCACCGAACAAATCTCATACACAATACGAGATCCCAACCAAACATTTTTAGCAATGTGCGATGCTTCAAATTTTAACATCGGTGCAGCATTACTACAATACCACAATGGAACAAATAAAATGAAAATTATATCAGTAAATTCTCGCCTATTTACACAAGCTGAATTACGGCTCTCTATTCTTTTGAGAGAAGGCACAGCTATCCCTTATACTCTAACAAAATATGAATTTTTGATACTTGGAACATCCAACAGTTTTATTTACAGATCACAAACCTATCATATTTCTTTTTACACAAAAAACAAATCAAACCATAGAGTTTAGAGAATTCAACTAATCCTAACGAACTTTTCAATCCAAATTTACACATAGTATGGACAGCAGGAAAAAACCTTGCACTACCTGACACTCTTAGTAGAAATACACCACCTGAACTACTAACAAGAAAAACAACAGTTGAAATACCACAAAATACAAAGTTCTATCTCGCTAAAGATGAGACTCCACCACAATTAGAATGTAAATATGCAGTAAAAACTGACATAGATCAATCACAAATAAATATTCTACAAGATTTTCCACTCTATTTAGATTGTCAAAACAACCACTATGAAGTTGATTTATTAGGCACATCTACATTCAAGCCGATTCCATATTCACATAGGATCAAAAACAACACTCAACAAAAGCGAATTAAACAGCAACTACATAAAAAAGATGCATTCCCCTTTAATAGAAAAAGAAAACTTAACGGAAACAATAAATTTATCAGGACCGTTACCAGATGATTCAAAATACACAATAAATCAAGTTTTTAATCTACATGACCCACTTGACACAATACCCCTATCAAAAATAGAAGTAGAAATTATTTTTCACCAACAACAGGAAAAATCACACTAGAATTATTACAGAAATATCAAAACCTTGATCCCGTCATCAGACAACTAAAATCATGGCACAAGTACATAACTAAGCCAACCAAAGCTGATACCACAATCTTAGGAACTA